GACCTCAGGTGAGCCGCCTGCCTCAGCCTCCCAAAGTGCTAGGATTACAGGTGTGTGCACCACCATGTCCAGCCTAAATATGAATGAACATTTTCAAAAAAAATATTATTTTATTGTATTTCATTTACTCATTTGAGATAGGGTCTGCCGGCTTTGTCACCCAGGCTGGAGTGCAGTGGCACAATCTCGACTCACTGCAACCTCTGCCTCCTGGGTTCAAGCCATCCTCTCACCTCAGCCTCCCAAGTAGCTGGAGTGCAGTGGCACAATCTCAGCTCATGGCAACCTCTGCCTCCTGGGCTCAAGCCATCCTCTCACCTCAGCCTCCCGAGTAGCTGGGACTACAGGCATATGCCATTATGCCTGTCTAATTTTTGTAATTTTTTGGTACAGACAGAATTTCATCACGTTGCCCTGGCTGGTCTCGAACTCCTGGGCTCAAGCAATCCACCTTCCTGAGACTCCCAAAGTGCTGGGATTACAGGCACGAGCCACTGGGCCCAGCCAAAAAAAATATATTTTAAAATATGAACATTTTCAAACCTCACAAAAGCAGAGAACAATATTAATATCCATGTACCCATCACCACAACCCAACAATTATCCAGATTGTGCCTGACCTGCTTCATCTATCTCATCTCCCTCCACTGCTTTTTTTGGTTTTTATCTGGTATCTGTTTAAAATAACAGACATCTCTGGGCAAGGTGGCTCACGCCCTTCCCAGCACTTTGGGAGGCCAAGACGGCTGGATCACCTGAGATCAGGAGTTCAAGACCAGCCTGGCTAACATGGTGAAAATCTGTTTCTACTAAAAATATAAAAAGTCAGCAGGCGTGGTGGCGCGCTCCTGTAATTCCAGCTACTCGGGAGCCTGAGGCAGTAGAATTGCTTGAATCCGGGAGGTGGAGGCTGCAGTGAGCCGAGATCACACCACTGTACTGCAGCTTGGGCAACAAGAGGGAAACTCCATCTCAAAATAAAATAAAATAAAATAAAATAAAATACCAGACATTTGCAAGTTTTCTCCCTAATTCTTCAGTCTCTATCACTAATAAAAAGTGGGCATTTTCTTACATGAACATAAGGCCATTATCATCCCAAACAAAGTTACAATAACTCCTTTATATCATATAATACCCATCCATATTCAGATTTCCCCCAGTGTTTCAAAAATGACTTTCTACAATTGGTTTGAGTCAGGGTTTAAACACCACCAACATATTATATTTGGTTACTACACATAAAATAATTTTAATCTGTCTGCATCATCTGGCAGCAAACATGAAAAGCTTAACAGACAAACCAAATAATTAATTTACATTTGTAGATTCTCTAGAATCAAACCTCATCTAATGCATTTGCTATTCCTGCTATCTGCAGCAGTCTTCCTCCAAATCATCACTATGGCGGATTTTTTCTAGTAATTGCAGTCACAGGTCAAATTACCACCTCTAAAAAGGCCCTCCCTAACCACTCAATCTACAGTAAAACCATTTCCATCCATGCCATATCACATGGTCCTATTTTCTTCACGGCACTCACCACTACCTGAAACCATTCTGTTTATTATGTTCCCCCACACACAACAGAATGTCAGCTCCATGAAGGCAGAGTGCCTTCACTGAAGAACAGTGACTGTGCCTAGAACATGAGACATTCAATAAATGTATCTACATAACAATGCAGTACTGCTCTTTAAAATGTAAGCTCAGCTAAGTATCTGGAGACTTTTTTGTTGTTTTGTGTTTTTTTTTTTGAGACAGAGTCTTGCTCTGTTGCCCAGATTGGAGTGCAGTGGCATGATCTCAGCTCACTGAAACCTCCATCTCCCGGGTTCAAACAATTCTGCCTTAGCCTCCCGAGCAGCTGGGATTACAGGCACGTGCCACCACCATGCCCGGCTAATTTTTGTATTTTTTTTTTAGTAGAGACAGGGTTTCACCACGTTGGCCTGGCTGGTCTTGAACCCCCGAACTCATGATCCACCCGCCTCGGCTTCCCAAAGTGCTGGGATTACAGGCGTGAGCAAGCGCCCCCAGCCTCAGCTAAATATTTGTCTTTAAACATTTGTAATTCACTCCTCATGTAATGACATAAATTGAGTACCTGTAGAAACCTGAGCCAGCTGTTACCAAGAATCTGTAGGATGTAGGAAAGAAGCAAACAGAGGTTTAAGACATCGAAATGTAATTGTGGACTTTTACTGAACAATAATTACAGGTTTCTGAAAGAAAAACAAATTATTCAGGATGATTTTTAAAATGTTACCAGGAGTAATAAAAAATTTCATTTTTAGTACCATCTGAAAGCTATTAAAGCTTGAGTAATTAATATCTACAATGGGACAACAATAACAATAATATGTGGAACAACAATCATTGTTTGTTTGTTTGTTTTGAAAAACAGTCTCGCCCTGTTGCCTAAGCTGGAGTGCAGTGAGTGGCACGATCTCAGCTTACTGCAACCTCCGCCTCCCAGGTTTAAGCCATTCTCCTGCCTCAGCTTCCCAAGCAGCTGGAACTACAGGCACACACCACTAAGCTTGGCTAATTTTTCATATTTTCAGTAGAGATGGGGTTTCACCATTTTGGCCAGTGTGGTCTCGAACTCCTGACCTCAAGTGATCCACTCGCCTTGGCCTCCCAAAGTGCTGGGATTACAGGGGTCAGCCACCACACCTGGCCCTCAGTTTCATCATAGGTTTTACACACACACATTTCATGAGGAAATTGATGCTTTCTGTATAGCATTTCTTTCCGGGGATTTGATTACGACGAATAAAACAACGAACACCAAAAACCTAACTAGATATACAAACCGTTAGATTTGGGACCTAGAGAAAACCAGTTATCTATTCTACAATTCTCACTTAAACAGAGAGACCTGAAGCCCAAGGAAGGTTAACAATAAACTCGGAGATCTAATGTATAGCAAGCAAAGATAGATCTAAAATCTAGATCTTCTGTCTCTAATCCTATATTATTTCATAAGATAATGTTACCCATAGAATGTTAATGTCAGGTTATAACATATTTTAACTTCTATCATTTTTCAGATAGTCTCTTTTATTTCCTACTGAAGTCTTAGCCCAAAAGGGGAGAAAAAGGCAAAAGAAGGGCACATAAGTATGCCTCAAGTAAAGCATAATACAGAAACCCCTCTTTAAACTATAACAACAACAACAACAAAAGCATCTAAAAATCTAAACGGTTTGATTCAATTAGTTTCTTTTATATTTTTTATTTTAAAGTAAAATAACTAGGAGTATCTGCTAAATGACTATACCTTAGCTTTATACAAGCAAGGTGCTGTTCTCTTAAACATCAGAATAGCTCTCTCTCAATAATCTGTAGAAACGGAGTACCACAGTGAAATTCGTTAAGGTGTAACCTCTTTTGTAATGCATTTTTCACCAAAATGGAGTCACTTTGTTTATATCTTTCTTTAAAAACCAATTCTATGTCAGGTGAAATAACTAGCAAACATGTGGCCAACAGACACCAAACAAAAGTTAAAAAGTGACAGAAGGATCTGCACATGATATAGCACTCGTGATAAACAAGGGGAGACTCACTCTTCCTACTTTTTCCTATAATATTATTTAGACCAATTTACAAACACCCTCATCAATTCTTAGAATACTATTGTGAATCTTTGGTCACAAACAAATGAGGAGAGAGATGAAAAAGTCATTTGTCCAAGGTTAAATGGCAAGAAAGTGTCCAAAATAAGATAAATCAAGGCTTTTAAAAAAAATCAACTTAAAATTATTTTAAAAGTAAAAGGACCTCCTTCTTATCCATCTGTTTTACCTCACAAACATAACCAGACTAGGGTGAAACAATGTGGCTTATATTGACATGAAGATTTTAACAAAAATACATACAGTAACAAACGATCAAAAGGTGTATCTTTACTGTAATAAAGCTAAGTCCAGTGTTACAGAACTTGTGTATGGTAATCTCAAAATCACATTCAAGCATTTACAAGCATCACACACACACACACACAAAAAACAAAAATGCGAAAGGAAATGGAACCTTAGCTTATCTTTTCCCAGTTTGTTCTTTTTAGTTGAAGAGGCCCCTAAAACAAGAAAATTATAAATAAAATACCAAATGAAATAAAGTTTAGATTGTCAGGTTCAAAAGCTACAGGAACTCCTACAAAACGTAGTCTATGTCAGTTGGCATCTTACCATTCAAGAGAATTCTAAATTAATGCCGCACATAAATCAAAAAACAGGAAAGCTTACAACAATACAATGGAGTCACCCCACACTATACACATGAACAAATTAAATGAATACCCTATACTTCCTGGTATTTTTTGAATAATCAAAACTTACACTTGGGTTGAGAAATACCCTCTGTAAACATCTACTATAACCTATTTAAGAACTGTTGTGACAAATCTATTTCTGCTGCACTGAACAGATATACCCACTACAGCACTGACACTGTCTCTGATAAATTATCTAAAGACAATAGTAAAAACATTCAGCTTCTTTTTAAATGACCAACAAGCCAACTCCATACAAAATCAGACGCGTCTGTATTTCAGCTGTTCCGCGGACTACGTTTCCTTGATCACAGCAGCAGCAGGCGGCTCCCTAGCCGTCAGGGCTGACTTAGCGCCCTCCAACTCCCCGGGTCCGGGTTACCTTCATCACTCCATTGTCAAATCGCACTCCTACGCCTCGGTCCTCAGCCCCCATCCTGAGACTCTAGGGAGAGTCGGAAGAGGGAGAGAAATCCCCTCACCCACACTTCCTCACTGTAGGCTGTGGGTGTGTCGGTAGACGAAAGCCTTGCCCAAACACAAATCGTCTGCGGAGACCCAGACCCTAAATCACCACTGAGCCAGAGATAACCGGCCGGTCGCCGACCCCAGCCTTCCGCGGCCGCAGCCCTTCCTCTTTCTCCCCTCCAGGCCGGCCCCTCCCCCGTTGCGCGCACGCGCGGCCTCCAATGGATCCCCTCCCCCCTGTTCCCCTCACCTTAATCATTAGCCACCCTCTTCTCTTCCAGGGTCCGGGAATCACTGACCCAGGAAGGAAGACAGAAATGTAAGGCGTAAAGAGTAATGCGTCGAGAGCCAGCGATCTGCGCCTCAGACGTCGGCCTAACAGGCCCCTAGAGTCAAGAGCAGTGTCTGTCACCGCCACCAAAACTGTACGTGCGGCAGCGCCTGGACTCGGCCCAGCTAAGCCGGCGTGGGTTCAGAATGCCTAATTTGGTCCCACAAGAACTCCTTCTCTGAAGCTGCGGGCGTTTCTACGCTGCGCAGACCGAACACCTCCTCGCCGTCGCCGCCACTGCCGCTGCTCCCCTACCGCCGCCGCCGCCGCCGCCGCCGCCTAACCAATTCCTCCCCTACCGAGGAGAGCACGACACTAGGGGCCTTTACGACAGTTCGGAAAGTGAGAGCGCAGTAGCCTTCACGCCTCCATTAACATCTGTTTGTTTCTGCGCTTGCTCGATTCCCGTTTCTCACCGTCCCGCCCCCTCGGTCCCGGCCCTCCCCCTTTGTACTGGTTTTATCAGTCTGTTGGCGAAACTGAAAGGTGTCACAAAGCTCATTATTTAATTTTCTTTGGTAATTATGCGTTCAACATTTAAGCCAAATCTTGACTACATCTTGGTTCATTTTTTCGTAACTAAAAATTAACCAACTACAGAAATTACTATATTTACAGATACACGTAAACAGAAACATCATGAGTTAGTGTCTTTCACAACAAATGATACCCATATCATATGCGCTAATTACATAAAGATCAGGGCACCTCACTGTTAATGCTTCCGGAATCAGATCAAAAGTGGTAACAGATACCTCCTGCGAACTCGGGCTGTACAATCGCATAAGCCTCCTTGTTTATTTTATAAAAGTCAGTAGATAACAAATGCGTCATTATATGCATTAGGAGGATAGAGAGAGGATGAGCCTTAGAGTCCATCAGGCAGACTTCCTTTCGAAAGTCCAGTGATGCCACTTAAGAGTTCTCTGATTCATGAGATCCTTATAAATCTTAGTTTCCTCCTCTATAAATTGGGAAAACGTATTGACCTCAAAAGGTTCTTGTTAGATTAAATGAGACAGTTTATCTAATGCTCTGAACATTACTCGCCACTTAAGTGTGCACTAAACATTAATTCCCTCCCTTTGCCATCAACTCATCTTTTTCAGTACGTTTTTTGTTCACTCATATTCTTCACATCGTTCAGCAAACAAATGATTTTGGCCAGGCGCGGTGGCTCATGCCTGTAATCCCAGCACTTTGGAAGGCCGAAGCGGGTGGATTACCTGAGGTCAGGAGTTCAAGACCAGCCTGGTCAACATGGTGAAACTCCTTCGCTAAAAATACAAAAATTAGCCCGGTGTGGTGGCGCACGCCTGTAATCCCAGCTACTCGGGAGGCTGAGGCAGGAGAATCGCTTGATCCAGGATGGTGGAGGTTGCAGTGAGCCACGATCAAGCCTTGCACTCCAGCCCGGGTGACAGAGGGAGACTCCGTCTCCAAGAAAAAAAAAAAAAAAAAAAAGGCCTGGCGCAGTGGCTTACGCCTGTAATCCCAGCACTTTGGGAGGCCAAGGTGGGCAGATCATGAGGTCAGGAGATCGAGACCATCCTGGCTAACACAGTGAAACCCTGTCTCTACTAAAAATACAAAAAAATTAGCCGGGCGTCGTGGCGGGTGCCTGTAACCCCAGCTACTCGGGAGGCTGAGGCAGCAGAATCGCTTGGACCTGGGAGGCGGAGGTTGCAGTGAGCTCACGATTGTGCCACTGCACTCCAGCCTGGGCGACAGAGTGAGACTCCATCTCAATTAAAAAAAAAAAAACAAAACACAAATGATTTTAAAATTACAATAATAATCGAGGAAAGCAGACTGGGTGGGGAAACTAAAAGAGCATTTGATTAGGATTTTCCTCAATCCTCCTATTTTCTCACTCTTAAATGTAGAATTTTGCCCGGACTATCTTATCTTCCCCTATGGTTTTAACTGTTACTATCTCATGACTTCTCAAACCTGTATTTCCAGCTCTAACCTTTTTCCTAAAGCTTTTGACCTGTGCTTTTCAATTAGGTAGACACCAGCCACATGTGGCTGCTGAGCATTTAAAATGTGGCTAGACCCCCTCCTGTTCTCCCTCTCCCCTCCCCTTTTCCTTTTCCATCTCCCTTCTTCAAAAAGAAAAAAGAAAAGAAAAGAAAAGAAAAGAAAAAAGTGACTAGTACAAATTGAGAAGTGCTTTAAGTGAAAAATCCATATCAAATTTCAAAGGTACAATACAAAAAAAAAAGACTTAAAAATCTCAGTACTTTTTAATATTTATTATATGTTGAAATAATATTTTGGATATATTGGGTTAAATCAGTGGTTCTGAAGCTGGGATGATTTAGCAACATCCGGAGACTGTTGGTTGTTACAACTCAGGGAGGAGGGGTGTGGCTACTGGCATCTATCCACTAAGATAGAGGCTAGGGATGCTGGCCTCTACGTAACAAAGAATTCTTTGGCCCAAAATGTTAATAGTGCAGTTGAGAAACCCCAGATGAAATAAAAGGATGAGGACTTGAACACTGTTGGGATGCTGAAGGAAAAGAGTCAGCAGAAAAAAAGAGTGGAAAGATAAAGAAAATAAAGGGATGCTCAATGGAGAAAAATACCTACAGAGTGAGAGGAAATGAGATTTAAAGCTCAGATGGAAAGTTAGCCTTGGATAGGAGAAGGCACAGCCTTTCCACTGAAACAGGTGAGAAGGAAGAAGACTGCAATTTAGGTATGTTAGCTTCAGAGGGCAAATTGAGGGCTTGTTCATTGAATGAACTTGACTTCCTTAGGAAACATGAGGTGGGGCCATCTACTAAGATGTGAGCTTTGGAAAACGCTGGGTGCAGAGTGACTAGAAGAGATTTAAAAAATCAGAACAGTCACTAACATAATGGCAAAAAGGGCAACAAATCAAAGCCCAGAGCGGAAGAGAAGTGAGGTTGAAGGGACAGGTGTTTTGCAGTTGTATTTAGAGGAATAATGGTAGATTGTAGGGATAAGAGGCAGCTCTCACCTGAATTACACATAACAACTTTCTGATTTCTATGCTTCTGCTTCCACCACTGTCACCACCCCACCCCAAACTCAACCTTAAGCCACAGTTAGAGTATGGCAGAAACTGATTAGACATTAAGTTGCTTAAAATATTTAAATGACCTTCCATCACCTTCAAGTTAAAATCCTTAGCATGACAAATGAAGCCCTTCAAAATCCAGATTCTTCAATACCACTTCATACCACCCCTAGCTCCCATCCTGTCCCCTGACCCTTCCTGGACCTCAGTGGACTTCTCAAGCTTCTTGTAGTTCTCCAGGAAAAAAAAAAAAAATATATATATATATATATATATATTCTTCCTACATAACTATCAATTTTCCCCATGAAGCTAACACACCCAATTGCATTTGTACAATCACTTCTTTCCTGTCACGTGTTTCAGTGGAAAGGCTATCCTTTCTCCTATCCAAGGCTAATTCTTCCATGTGAGCTTTGGATCTCATTTCCTCTGCCTCCATGGGAACGTTCCTCAACTGAGCATCTCTTTATTTCCATTATCTTTCCTCTCTCTTTTTCTACTGTTTCTTACCCTTCAGAATACAAACAAGGTTCAAGACTCACCCGATCTTAACTCCATATTCTTCTAGATATATGTCTTTTTCCATCTCTCTGCCTTTGCACAGTTCCTTCTGTCTCAAAATTCTCCCCCCTTCTCCACATTTGCCACCCATGCTTTACCTGCTTAACAAATTCTTATCCATTGCTCCAAGCCCTCTTCCATGAAGCATTTCCTTACCTCTCTTCCCGCCCCTTGAAATGGACTTAATCACTCCAGTTTTAGTACTCTCTTCAATCTTTATACATACATCTAAGTATTATGATTATTTACGTCTATACCTGTCTCAAAACTTAAAATCAGAGAAAATGTCTCTCTTTAGTAGAAAAATAGCACTCAATAAACATGTATTGAACTGCACTGAATAAGAAGAATGGAATTCTAATCTCAATTTTGCCACAAGAAACCAGAAATCCTTAAATCACTTTAAATATCTGAAAATGAATTTTACTCACTTGTGGAGAGATCAAGGTTATCCAAATGCACTGCAAACCAAATTCTGCTTTCCTAAAACTGCAGCCAAATAATGTTTACCAAATTAGTCTGCATATATGGGCCAGCAGTATCTAACTATCTGCCTGGCAGGAATTTGGGGAGTTTGGTCTAAACATGGAAATACTGGGCTGAATTAGTGAGACACCTACAATCAAAGGGAATAAGAAAATTTCTACAAACTACCAAAGTCAGAAGGAAAGACTGGTATGCCCGTCATCCACTGCATACTTCATAACTGAATAAAGTCTGCAAGTGAGAGTAACTAATTATATGGTCAGCTTTGTGAGCTCTTTGGAAGAAATGGAGAAAAGTTTGAAGATTTAATGCAAGAGTTAGGAAGATCTTGGGAAATTCTTGAAAGTATTTCGTGAACTATTTCCTCAGATGTAAAGCTTTGGAAATAATTAAAAGGATCTCAGAGATGAACTAGTCAGAACACTTAGTGATTCAGAATATTTTATTTTCTTGTTGGCATGTGAAGATATCACTGGAACTTGAAACTGAATGAAAAATGCTATAGACTCCATAACTACTGATTTAGTTGAGGTAGTACAGCTCCTTATTAAAATTTTCTGTATGTGCTGGGTGCGGCGGCTCATCCTTGTAATCCCAGCACTTTGGGACGCTGGAAAGGGCGATCACCTGAGGACAAGAGTTGGAGACCAACCTGGCCAACATAGTGAAACCTCATGTCTACTAAAAATACAAAAATTAGCCAGACGTGGTGGTGGGCACCTATAATCCCAGCTACTCGAGAGGCTGAGGCAGGCAAATTGCTTGAACCCAGGAGGCGGAGGTTGCAGTGAGCCGAGATTGTGCCACTGCACTCCAGCCAGGGCAACAGAACAAGACTTCACCTCAAAAAATACATATCTAGATAAAAAATGATTTCAGGCTATGTGATTGGAAAGAGACTATTTTTAAAGATTATATATGTAGCATATACTCATATACTACTGTATAATCTTTATTACACATAGATAGAAACAGATAGAAAAGATAGTGATTAGACACAGCCCTTTATCCTACTACTAAACTGTTTTGCAATCAATGCAATCATAGATTCTGAAAAATTGAAGAGCTGTTTAGTAGAATAACCTCAAAAGACAATACACTTATGATGAGTACTTATCAATTGAAAAATTTCCATTTGTCTTTGGAAGGCAACTTTCAAGATATATTTGAAATATCGAGAGGCCGGGCACGGTGGCTTATGCCTGTAATCCCA